TGTATACTCATAAATAACAGACTATGTGATGACATGAGCTGTAAACATCTGGCATGACATATTTTCATTGCTTACAGTGGCAGAACCTGCAAACTTGTTTTAAGGGTACGCTTCACAATTTGGGTTTAGTTGTAACGTATATTCAGGAGTGGTTGTTTGAAATAAAACCTAGTTTTTAAAAGTAGTTTCTGTCATTAGGCACTTTGTTACTTAACAGATGCGAGAAAAAAAAAAAAGGAGATTTGGCATCACAAAAAAGAAAATTTTATTTTTTAGGCCTCATCGCCCAGCCATATGACCAATACATTAAGAGTTTCGTAAAAGTTGAAAAGGTCCCCCATAAGATGTCCCAGGGTTTGGTTTTAAATAATTGAAAAAAATAAATAAATCAAATATGACAATATAAGATTTTCTTGGTTAAAAAAAAAAAAAAAAAAAACAAACAAAAAAAAGTTTTGTAAAACATGCAATCCTTAAAAATAAATGTTCAGATGGAATGTGGGAGAAAAAAAAGCTAATTTAATAGAGCCCTGGTTTAGGCAGGCTATTGGTAGGAATTATGTCATCAGCTTAAATGTTTGCATTTCCTTTGTAAAGAAAGGCTCCTTGTTGGTTAAGGCATGAAAACTAGGTTAATCAAGTTTGTCTGATGCTGTCAAATTAGAGCAGCTAAGTCACTGACAACAAATGCAGTCATAAAGTGCTTGTTTGCTGAATCTAATTTAATCAAAAGAGATTTACTTTTTACCAACAGTTCCAGATTCTGACCTCATCTAGAAATGAGCTTCAACATGAGTTCTGAGAACCTCTTACAGTAACCCGTTTATTTTTATGCTGCTTTCACACCAAGCGTGTTTTATGTGTCACATCGTAGATGCTTCGCTCATTTAAGTCAGACGTGTTGAGGCCCTTTTTTACATCTTTGATGTGCATAGAGCAAATTGTGTGCAGAAGTCTCTGACGCGTTTTGCAATGGCAGATGTAGTGAAGAAAGTGCAGTTGTAAAAATTTTTTAGTTCTTTTATTTATTTATAAGACTAAGTGGAAAAATAGAGGTTTTTAAGCAAGAGAGTACATCTGAAATCGTAGTCGGTTCATCTGGATAATGATCCTAGTTTTAAATATTCTGTAGCTGTTCTGAGCGGTGGATGCTCCACGTACCACCTGGGGAGCAGTCGGTCACCCAGAATCCAGCAATGGCTCCTACAAGCCGACCGGCCTCCCTGGGATTTCCTGCTGTGATTGATAGCGGCTGGAAATGAATATGGTGGTAAAAACTACAACTACAGCATATATTTTACCTGACTTTTGCAAGTTTTTGTATTTTTATGCTGCTATTTATAAACTGGTTTACAACACAGTCTAGTGACAAATTATTTAAGTGAACAGCGCATTCCCACTTTTCTTTGACCATGAAAAATAGATTGTGTCTGCTTTTTATACAAGCCTAGTGGAGTGCAACACCTTTACATATACATATTTTTGTCTTTTTTTGATGGTTTTATTCTGACAGCTCCACATGAGCAGAGATCACAGCTTGGATGGTGCGTCTGTCTCCCAAACAGTTGGTAGATTATAAGCCTCTCAGATTGGTTGATGCACAGTGTCAAGCAACAAAAGGTTTTCCAACTCCAGCATCTGATGTTTTGATGCTCTAATGCTACGTTCACAACGCAAGCAGCAGGAACGGCTACATAACGCCCATGCTGCTTAATTTTTGATACTTGTACAAGTTTAGTTCTGAAAAAGTGGGTCTGAAGCACATTGGGAGGAGCTACCCTATCCTTTCTTTGCCTGTAACAATGGCAGCTATATTTGCTGTGATCAGTGGGTAAAAGGTAGTTTTAATATGTTTTTCAGTGAAAAAGTCCACCTGAAATCTTCATCTGTGCAGTCAGTTCATCCAGATTACCATCCTGCCTTCAAATATTTCGGTTGGAGCCGCTCAGACTCCCGTACACAGGCGGTGCTCTGTCCCAGATAATCCCGTCCAACAGCAGCCTTTGACCCGGTCGCCTCATCGGGGTTTGCCGCTACTGTTTGTGGCTGAAAGTAGATGTTAGCGCTTTTCACGTATGTAATCCAAATTGCAGGCACCAGGATAATAAAAGCGAACAAGAATTTGCCGGCAGATTTCGGCATTTGAAGTTAATTTAGGTGTTAATGAACTGTTTGAGAGGAGGGATTGCATCATCAGTGCTGTGTCTGTCTCCCTGCCAGCTCCCAGATCAGCTTCTCTGATTGGTTGATGTGGCATGTCGAGCAACAAAAGTTAAATTTTTCCAACTCCAGCAGCCACTGCTTTCACAGCGCTTCTTGTGTGTCAGAAGCTCAGGAGGTGCTGCTCCAGCTGCTCAAAAAAGCAGCTTCTGCTCCTCAAAAGGCGCTGCAGGACCTTAAGGAGCTATTTTATAGGCGTCCACCATTGACTTTGCATGTAAACTAGCTGCTTCTGCTGCCTCTGTTGCTTTAGGTGTGAAGCAGCAGACGGTCAAATGTCCCACAGACTTTGGGTGTAACCAGCTGCCCCTGACACTCAAAATGTTACAGTTTACTAATCTGTCCATCTATGCACATATGGAAAAGCCCAACATCCCTCCTTCTAGCAGCACTCTGCAGCTCATTTTGGGGGATTCAAAGGCTGTCCCTCCTGCTACCAACAGAATGTGGCCAGTAAAACTCAAGCAGCCTGCGTTCAGCTGGTATTCTGATTAAATGTTCAAACAAATTCCACTATTTCCAGCTCAAGATCACCCTGAATGATAGTGGCCCACCCTATGGAGGAAGCTCATTTCAAATGCCTATAACCAGGATCCAATTTGTTCAGCCGTTTCCGCAATTTAAGACCAGTTAGAAAAGGTGGGAATATAAACATCCTGGTAAATTGGCATCTTTGATACGTCACTTTGCCTTTTTTTTACTCCAGGTGAGACCAACCATCTCTAGCTCTACGGAACATCTGCTCAGACATGGATTGAAACTGACTTTTCAACCACTGAGAAAAAAAAAAACAATATTGAAAACTTATCAGACTTATCCCACCTTTCTACAGTGTAGTTAAGAGAATTCGCAAAAAGATCTCTCTAAAGAAAACATTACCTCCTGGTGAGTTTCTGCACAGTTCAACTATATGGTTTATGATAAAATATACACATGGTACATACTGTAAGTGCAGTTAGCTCTTCATGTTTTATGTCACATAAACAGACTGCGATCCAAAAAGACACGTCTCTCTTTCCTGATTCAGCCAGACGGATGAAATAAACTTAGTCATTGCAGACGTTCTCTCAGAAAACAGAAAATGAGAACTTGTGGCAGGTCAGGAGCTCATCAGCGTCTGTCAGCCAGCTTAGTGGCAGCTCTGGGAGACAGATGCGCTGGTTTGGACCAGTAGGAACTGGTTTCCCCTGTGAGAACGACAAGCGAGACGTGTTTGGGCTCAACAGGAAGACATACAGAGAAAGAAGAGAGAACTTAAATTTAAAGTATGTGTGGGCGACAAACATAAAACCATCTCTGTCAGCAGCAGACTTAATTATACTTCATCTGAAACATTTACAGACCAGTGATAATACCACTAACTTTTTATATTAGAAAAATCTGGATGACACTGGTTTTCTCAACATCTTTCACTCAGAGTTTAGTTTTCTAAGGTCAATACACAGTTATTTATTCTAAAAAAAATTTTTTTAATTGTCTTTCATTCAAAGTGATGTTTGTTTCTTGATGAAAGTCTAATATTTGCTCTCCTTTTAGCACTGCTCGCTCTTTATGACTCCTGGAAGAACCATCTGCTACATATGGACCAGCTAATAGCTCACTATGCAACTGTGTTAGCTTAGTTTATTGAAGCAAATGCTTCGTGGCTGTTCAAACCTGCCTGCTTCTCCTGGAGACAAAACAGACATAGGCAGACTTAAAGCAGGAAGCAAAAATAGATATTTTCTCTTTTTCAAAGTTGTAGAGAAAATAAATAAAAGTTTTTTTCTTATTGCATATTCAGTACTTTAAATGTGGAGTTTATTTTTGTTACTGTGACAGTTTGTATCATAACCAATCCCATACGAATACCTGGGCCGAGTTCTTTGGCCGATGCCTGATCCTGTACTATTGAATGAATGAACCGTGCAATGTTAGTGAAGGCATCAGGTTTAAAATAATAGTTGTTGAAATAAAGGTAAAAGAATCCTACGGCTATAACAAGGTTTATACAGGAATTAGTAACTCTAATTTAATGTTTATATATATTAGGGGTGGAACGGTTCACAAAATCCACGGTTCGGTTCGGTTCACGGTTTCGTGGTCACGGTTTTCGGTTCGATTGAATATATGTTTATTGTTACACTGAAAAAAAGAAAATTAATAAAAATTAATGAAAAAATAAAAATGTATGAAAAAATTAATTGTAATTATTTTTAATGATCCGCGGAAACCATGGATCATTTCCGCATGTTTTGCTGCTTTGAATTTAATCATCTCGTGCATGCCCTCTACCATCTCCAAGGAACACAGAGGGGAGCGGACGGGAGCCACAGTGGAGGCTGTATGCTTTGTGCAGGCGGTCTGGAGTACAGCGGGGCGTAGCACTGACAGTGTATGAGGGATTTCAGGGTTAGCATGACATGTTGGTCATGTTGCTGTTAGCGTAAACAAAACGTGTTGCACAATGCTCGCACACTGTTGCACTTTTATCTACAACTTTCTTTCCGCCGTCATCATAGGTCACTCTAAATGCAAAGCGGCCCCATACAGCAGACCTATAAAGTGCTGCTGGCCCGTCTTCCAACTCCTGTTCTTTCCCACTCGCCATTCCGACATAATTCTCCACAACAACTGATTTTTTTCCCTGCTAAGCTGCTTCGCTTCTTGTTCTTCTTGTTTACTACTGGTGGTTGGCTTTGGTCGCAGTACCGCCACCTTCTGCTCGGGAGTGTAATCGCTTCCTCTATGAGAAAAAGGAGCAGCGCATGAACCGAACGCAACACACGCGAACCGAACCGAGACAGTTGAACCGAACGGTTCGGGCGGTTTTCATAAATCGTCCCATCCCTACTATATATATATATATATATATATATATATATATCTATATATATATATAAAATATAATTTCAGAGCTTTAGCCATACAGATGTGTAACTTTGAATATATATAATTTCAGAGCTTTAGCCATACAGATGTGTAACTTTGAATATGGCTCATCCTTACTGTTGACTCGACAGTAGGTGAAGGGAATAGTGATACAGTTTGCAGTATTTAGAAGGGAAACCATGTTTCGATTTTTGCAGTTAAGAGAAAAAGTTTGCCAATTAAATGGTTTAGCCATTTAAATCTAAATCACTGACCCCAGAGTTTAACTGTGTCCTGAGCATCAATACTTACCGTACTGAGAGGGTAAAGTCTCCAGGGTTGCTTTTGCTGGGTCTGGCTAAAAAGCTTCCATCCACTCCTCGAGTCAGCAGGAGGTTTTCAGCCTCCACGCCTGAGATGTTGGGGTGAAACCACCTGGGGGATGGTGAAGTAAGGACAGACCATTACTGATTTGGCTGCAAAACATAAACCCTCAGCTAACAAATCATGAACCCCAATACACAGAGGATGGCCAAAATAATACAAAGTTCTTTTCTCTTATCACCATCTGGTAAACTCCTGCTAAGGTCCTATTCTAATTACATTAAATCAGTGGTTAAAGCCCAATAGATCCTGGAAAAACTTCCAGATATCGAAATACTTGGATTTCACAGGTGTAATGGCCCTTCCACACCAAAGATAGCACAGCGCTGATGTGCTAGATTTCTTTATTAATTTGTTTTGCAGGTAAACATAGGTACTTTGTTAGCCTCTTTCAGACTGTGCTTGGATAAGAATGAAAAAAAAGCCTTTATATTTATTCTCTCCCACCCCCCGTAGTTTGCCATACAGGAGCATTTCTTAGTTTAAGATAGAACTGATTTCTGTTTAATACAAAAAAAAAGTTCTGAAATGCCTGCCTGAGAAACATTAAGCAGGATTTTCCAGCCACCCTTTCACACCAAACAGAGATGATGTTTTGCATGTGATCCCGACTCTGCATTTTTTCCACCTTCTCTTCAGCTGATTCGGTTTCCCGCAGCAGACTTTGTTTCTGTCTGTCTCGTTCTCTTTCATCTCCCCTACTCTGCAATATTAACCATATATTCTATTAAAGACATCATGTAGAAGGAATCTTAGTTTTGCTCTTTCTTTGACCTAGTCACATTTCACATACATTATGTTATCACTTAATATTCTCAACATAATTTGGGCCACGTTGTCAGACATAAAAGTGGCTCTCTGGTCATAACTGTGCTATAAAGCCGTGCCTGTCAGGATAAGAAATGTTGCTGGGAGATAAACCGTCCCTGAAGTCATTGTGATTCTATGTTTTTTTTTTTTTTCAAATATGATTTTTTACTTATATAACACTAATGTTAAAATAAAGTAGGCTACATCTTCTTAAATATGAATACACTGTTTTTTAAAGTCGTAGGGGAACGGCCGTTTCAACCTTTGATTTTCTGAAGTTGTGCACAACTTTACACAAGTCAATAAAGTGAATGTGATTGGTCGATTAACAAGGGGGTGGAATTGTTGTGGCGGAAAGTTTGGTTGTGGCCGGTTTGTTGGAAGCATCTTGCTAACCAGTTAGCAACTTAGTGCTACTTGGTCCCAATGGGAAATTCCATTGGGACCAAGTAGCACTAAATTGGTGACTTAGAAACGACACTGTCAAGGAACGCTATGGACAGAGGAAACATGCAAGAGGAGGAGAGTTTAGTGTCGGAGGTCGTGGATGAGTCTCCTCCATCATACATTTTTTATTTAGAGGAGGGAAGCGGGGATGAAGATGTTGTGGAAGAGGACGCCAGGGCGGCAGAAGCTTGGTTTGGTGTAGAAGGCTTACAGCCGTACATGTTTGAGCCCTTGCCTCGCAACACTGCCAGTTCTGTTAGCTCTATGCCTGCTGAAGACACAGACGTCCATCCCTGTGAACACTGGGACGGAACTCAATGGGAAAGGAAATTATTCTTTTTTCTTATTTCAACCATAGCGTATATTAGCTGCGACATCTGAATCACAATGCTATGACTGAAAAATATGATTGACAGATGACCGTTGATATATGATTGGCCGAATTTAGGTGTTCAGGCTTACAACTAACTGGTCTGAATAAGATAAAGGAAGAAAAAAAACACAGATTTTAAGACAGGAATTTTTATATATATCGATAGATCGATAGATAGATAGATAGATAGAGAAAAATGTTCTACATTTTAGGCCAATATGGTCTGATAAAGAGTACATTTATATACATGTTTAAGCCAGAATGATTTGACATTTAAATATGATTTCAATACAACTTTAAGAGCACTGCAACACTTCCTTTTATTTTGTCTTAACAGATACCTGCCTTGTTTCCTACAGGTTCTGGATAGAATGAAAAGCACTTTGATCTCGATCTGCCAAACATTTAAATTATGTTAAGTGCAACTTCATCTGTTGTTTATTTTAGTTGATTTGGAATCTGTTTCATAGGATAAAACCCACTAACTGAATGATTGAAAATGAAATCTCCTCGTTCCACTGTCCACAACAGTAAAACATCACTACTTCCACATCTAATTTAGAGGAGCTGAGGTGCAGCAAACGTTGCTAATGTGATAAACTCTGTCAGGATGCCTTTCTGCTGCGCTGTTTTTTCCTCCAGCTTAGACGCTCAGCCTTGCACCGCACTGCAGTTAGAATCAGGTAAATAAAATAATAAAATTGTACCTGAGGCAACAGACAGCGGATATGTGTAAATGCATTTGAATTTGGTTTAAAACAATATTGCTCCACATGAAAGTGTACATCAGTAAAAAGAAATGCATAAGATTTATATTAGAGTTCAAAGATTTTTATACAGCCCGAAAATGAGTATGAACTATAAATCTTAATGAAAAGTTCAGACCATTGAACCAGACAGAAGTGTGGTTAGCCAGCTCACTTATGACATGTAAACAGTTATGACTCTTCTTCTTAAAATAATCTGAATCAAGAATAAATAGGAAACAGAATCTAAATTATTCAAGTTCAAACGATGTCAAACCCTCTTATTAAAGGTTAAATTCATACAAAAAATAGCAAATTATTCATCATTATTTAATTAGTTTTTAAATGTATATATTTTCCTTTCAGAAGTAATTTCATTAATTTTACTTATTTAGGTTTTGTTTATATTTTAGTTTCCTGTTAGTATTAAAGCAATGAAATGCTTCCCAAACTCTTAACTGTCTGCGGAGTTTGAACGTTTTAGTTTTGGTGACGATTTCCAAGTTTATGAGGATGGAAAGGCCTCCTTTCCATTAATTTAATTCAATTCAGTTTATTTCTATAGCGCTAATTCACAACACATGTCATCTCAAGGCACTTTACTGTTCACCAGATCATACTGGTATGATCATTACCCGCATCTTCATGTCCCTTCAAAGATTTTTCACTAGATTTAAGTAAGGCCTCTGGCAGGATTAACTCCGAAACATTAATACCGCATTCAATCTGCAAAAAGTGTTGATAGATTTAAAGATAACTAGATCTGTAAGAAATTAACCAATCAGCCAGAAATCAGACTCACTTTTCTTGCTTGATTAGCTGTGGTCTGATTGGCAGGTCAAACTCCTTAAACTGTGAATAAATGGTATAATTGTTAACTAGGCTTATTAATAAGCATATTTATGTTTATAAACTAACATATGTAAGTGCCTAGAGGCATTAATGCCTCTTAGGTTAAGTTGTACCAAAAAAATATATTTCTTTCACTCTCAGTGTTTTTCATGAATTTCTTATAGAAGCATTTTGGTTATTTTTCTTAATATATTCCAGCAAGTTGGCGTTTCTTGTTTTTACATTTTTTATCCATATTTAATTAATATCCATATTTTTTTAATGTTACAAAGGTAATAAGGTCTTGTCCTGGATTTCAATAACACTGTAGGCTTGAAATTTGGATGTTCAAAGTATTTCACTGAGTGCCCTATAAAGGGTTAACTTTTCAATTAGTTTTTACCTTTTTTTTATGACTTGTTAACTTTTTTGCCCCACAACTTAATTTACATTACGTTATATATCATTCAAGGGCTCATCTAATTGGTCAAATGCCAAAATAAGATGTACAGCCATGCAGCAGTATCTTTGCTGAATGGCTGGATATAGATCTTGTGTTTCTAGACCTCACTGAAGGACGGGGGGGGACTTCATTTGTAAGGGGTATGCAAGGGGTTTGCCCTATAAAGGGCTTTAAGTTTTGTCTGATCTATTTCCATGTTTAAAAAAAATAATAACAATCCAAAAAAGAAAATAAGTAAAAGCCTGAAAGGTGCACGTGAATTCAAGCACCATGCATGCATGATAATCCAGATAAGACACTTGGCAAGTTGGGAAAACTTTTACTGCCCTGCACGCACACAGATGAAATAGATTTTAATGACCCAAAGGCAAAGATTTACAGATGCAACAGTGTATGAAAAAGATGAGTGAGATCATCATCTGTAAATGACACAAGCTTTAGTAATTGCAATATTTCAGGTATATCCAAAATTTATACCTTTTTTGTACTAGTGTTGAACTCTGAATTAGCTCTGTATAGAGATTATCTAAATACATCTTTAAAGAAAGTGACAAACCTTCACTTTTTCTGACATCTTTATGTAATAAAACGGCAGAGATAAAGATATGAAGTACTAGAAAGACCAACCTTTAGTGATTTATCAGTCTCTTATGAGTGCTTATCTAATAATTTCCTTCAATATATTTGTGCTTCAAAGAAATGAATCCTAATGTGAGAAAAAACCAGACAAACATTACCCAGAGTTTGGACTTTGTTTTGTTATGGTTTTGTTGTTGCTGTTTTTTTGTTTGTTTTTTGACAGATGTCGGAAACTTGGGTTTAATACCGAATGTGTGGCGCTTTCAAAACAGGTGACCACATTGGTTATATGTTTATTATTAAATAAATATGATATCTATGTATATATATATATTTACACTGTCGCTATAATGTGTGGCACAAGCAGTTATGTTTCGGTTGCTATGGGAACGGAGCTCCACCCGCTCATAGGTGCAATTTGGGAGAAAACATAGAAAGCTGCTGTGCCTGAGTCTCCTTTTATTTCATCGTTCAGGTCAGTAATGGGTAAACTGTCCATCTTGTTGGAGTATTACCCTTTTTCTTAATGTCTCTTTGATTACTTATTGTAGTCTTGTTTATACCCTAACAATAAAAGTGTAAATACAAAGTTTGCCATTGATCAGGGCAGCTGGCTGGGTTGGGCTGTTGTGAAAGGTTGGCTGGCGGTTACGGTCTCATAGGCGGGCTGTTGCGGCGGACAAGAGTGGCGGTGCTGCAAGCGGCTGGCTGCCGTCTCTGGGTCCATATTTACGTGGCGTGGCATGTGGAGCTCCGAAACTCTTTTATGCGGTTATGTTGACAAGTATGAATTATTCCACACACACAGGGTTTACAAATGGTTTTGTAAATGGTCATTGCTGTTTAGTTTAAATGATTTAAAGTGATTCTTATGTCTTGTAGCCTTTGTCAGTAATTAAATGCCGTTTGAATGTGTTAGTCCAGTATTCACTAGGCAGCTACATACAGTTACATCTTTAATTACAATATAGCCTTGTTAAAGTACCCTATTAAGCCACAGTGGCCTTGGATAAGTAATATGTAGGAAAGTGAATATAAATTATATGACATGCGATATTTCTGTTATTTTGGTAAATGTTAATATGGCAAAGTTTTGTATGAATTGTTTATGTATGCATTGGGGATAAAATTGCTATCTATTATACACCACAATGGGACTTGAACAAAACAATTAATGCATTGATATTTAGTGATTTACTCTGAATAAATAAACCAGATGCAATTTGGGAGAAAACATAGAAATCTGCTGTGCCTGAGTCTCCTTTTATTTCATCTGTCTTTCAGGATATTTTACATTTGTTACTACAGACCCCTACTTGGGACCTGTAACAAATGGAAATCACTAACATAAGAAAAAAAACGTGTATAAAAAATTTATTGGGTATCCAAAAGTTTGTTTTTTTTTCTGTACATAATACGTAGGCTTAAGATGCTAATAACAGTATAAATATATTGTTTACTGAACATGTCCAGACAGTTTTTAATGTAACCGTTAGCGCCCCCCGGCACCCTAACCTAGCTAACTGTTTTACTTTGATGTTCTTCCAGAATCTTCATCCCTCGCTCACAGACTGAGCCAGAAACAGATGTGAGCAGTTAAACTTAGCTGGCTCGGCTAACATTGTTTTTTTTTTTTTTCCAGACAGCCCCTCTTACCTCCGAGATGTCATTTTTTTCCGTTCCTCACTTCCTCGCTGGCACTAAAACTGTAGCGTCAACAAGCGGGCGAATGTTTGCGACCGTTTCAGCTTCAGCTAGTCAATAAACTGCTTCATCGGTCCACACCCGGTCAGAACGGGCACTGAAAACTAGTTAGACATCCACAAAAAATTACAGTAGCCTCTGCTGCAAAGGGGGAAAAAAAGTCTGTAGGCCTCGTCCCCTGAAGTCTTCACGGCCAGTCGACTGTTAGACGTCACCAAACATGCGACGCAACCGTGGCTCTATGGATTTTAACACCTTGAGCGGCCGTTTGGGGAGCTCTTGATTGGTTCCTGTACAGCCCCCGCCCGAGCTCATCAAACCGGCATGCGCTGTTACTAATATTAAACGCTCTGATAACTCTTACGTTGCGCATGCTCACTTAAACGATGTTTGTGTTTATCATTTAGAGCAAAGGTAACCAATTAAAAATCAAAAGAAAATCATCAACCAGTAAAGGTCAAGAGACAATTTTGATTATAAAATATTTATTTAAACTGAATTTAACACTGAAATAAAAGAGTTTTTATGCACTGATGTCATACATTGAATTTTTAAATAAAAAAATTGAACAAAAAATAAAGAAAATTTTCCATTTTAAAATCTAAAGTGTTTTTTTGAAGTAGAGAACAACAGAAGTTCAGATTGATATATAGACAATTTCCTGATTTACATAATTTATAAAACCCCTTAATTGACTGTAAGTTTTCTTTTTTTTTCCTGTCTTAATGAGAGCAATGGGCTTTAGGCTGTCCTGCAAGGCTTTAAACCTGGGTTTAAAAGGAGACAAAGCCATTCTCAAGCACATATCGATATTTATTTTTGATTATGTTCATGGTGGAGAACAATAGCGTAAATATCGGTAAGCAGACACAGCAGTTGGTTACTAGTCCATGACCTCTTAGGGGCCCTATCACTGACACGTCAATTTTTTTTTACACTTCGACTTGGAATTATGGGTAATCCAGAGTGTAGATTAAAACAATAACCGTTCTTCCCAGAGGAGCAGAAAGTACCTGAAAGACAGACGCTCAGAGAGGGAAAATTATACACGCCATCATCCTTCCACTGGCCAGTGTTATTCCTAGCAAACCTTCTCATTGGCTTTGAAAGAAAGAAAGAAAGAAAGAAAGAAAG